AGAGAGAGAGAGAGAAACATTGATCTGAGAGCAAAAGTATCGGTCCGCTGCCTCCTGCATGCTCCCAATGGGGATGGAACCTGCAGCCAGGAAATCTGCCCTGACCGGGAATTGGACAGGCGACCTCTTGATGCATGGGTCGACCAACTGAGCCACACTGGCCAGGCCAGGGTCATAATTTTTGTATGGTTACTATTTTATATAGTGATACTTCAGTTGGAGAGTGCTAGGATGTATACCTTTATCTAAGTAAGTTTAGAGAAAATGAATTTAAATTGTATTTTTTAACATAGACTTTTTTTTAGAGCAGTTTTAGATTCACAGCAAAATTAGGTGGAAGGTACAGAGATTTTTCTTATGTCCCCATGTCCCCATGTCCCCAAACATGCATTAGCTACATTCCCTACCAGAGGGGAACAATTGTTATAATTGATATACTAGTACATACTAGAGTTCATAGTTTACTTTAGGGTTTATTCTTGGTGTTGTATATTGTCACCTAGAGTTCATTGTCACCTAGAGTTCATAGTTTACTTTAGGGTTTGGCGACCTCTTGATGCATGGGTCGACCAACTGAGCCACACTGGCCAGGCCAGGGTCATAATTTTTGTATGGTTACTATTTTATATAGTGATACTTCAGTTGGAGAGTGCTAGGATGTATACCTTTATCTAAGTAAGTTTAGAGAAAATGAATTTAAATTGTATTTTTTAACATAGACATTTTTTTTAGAGCAGTTTTAGATTCACAACAAAATTAGGTGGAAAGTACAGAGATTTTTCTTATACCCCATGTCCCCAAACATGCATTAGCTACATTCCCTACCAGAGGGGAACAATTGTTATAATTAATATACTAGTACATACTAGAGTTCATAGTTTACTTTAGGGTTTATTCTTGGTGTATATTGTCACCACCTAGAGTTCATTGTCACCTAGAGTTCATAGTTTACTTTAGGGTTTATTCTTGGTGTTGTATATTGTCACCTAGAGTTCATTGTCACCTAGAGTATTTCAAATCTTTGACTTGATTCTTGCGATCCTCTAGCAGTGATGGCAAACCTTTTGAGCTCAGCATGTCAGCATTTTGAAAAACCCTAACTTAATTCTGGTGCCGTTTCACATATAGAAATTTTTTGATATTTGCAACCATAGTAAAACAGAGACTTAAATTTTTGATATTTATTTTATATATTTAAATGCCATTTAACAAAGAAAAAAAATGAGTTCGTGTGTCACCTCTGACACCCGTGTCATAGGTTTGCCGTCACTGCTCTATGCTCTACCTAATCCTCTCTCCCTCCAATGCCTGGTAACCACTGGTCTTTTTACTGTTTCCATAGTTTTTCCTTTTTCAGATGACATATAGTTGGAATTATACAGTATGTAGCCTTTTCAGACTGGTATAGTTCATGTAGTAATAAGCATTTAAGACTCCATGTGTTTTCATGACTTGATAGCTCATTTCTTTTTAGTGCTGAATAATATTCTATAGTCTGGAAGTACTGTAGATTATTTATCCACCTACTGGTGGACAGCTTCATTGCTTCCAAGTTTTGGCAATTAGGACTAACGTTGCTATAAACATCCATTTGTGTGTTTTTGTGTGGGCATAAGTTTTCAACTCTTTTGGGTAAATACTAAGGATTTTGTAATTTTTTTCTAAGAGTTAGGAAACAGCATTTATTTCATCTTACAACTGAATGATTGTCATAAAGAAATTTTGTTGAGGACAGTCAAGTTGATTGTTACTTTCAGGATAAAATTCAGTCTTGCTGGCTTCAATGGATTCTTGAATACTGAGCTGAATATCATAACTTGTAAGATTGTCTTCATCGGGGTCATCATTACTATCTATGACTTTTTCTTCTTCTTCCTCTTCTTAAAGGATACCTTTCAGCATTTCACATAATACTGGTTTGGTGGTGATGAACTCCTTTAGCTTTTTCTTATCTGTGAAGCTATTTATCTGACCTTCACTTCTGAATGATAGCTTTGCTGGATAAAGTAATCTTGGTTGTAGGTTCTTGGTATTCATCACTTTGAATATTTCTTGCCACTCCCTTCTGGCCTGCATAGTTTCTATTGAGAAATCAGCTGACAATTGTATGGGTACTCCCATACAATTGTTTTTCTCTTGCTGCTTTTAAGATTCTCTCTGTCTTTTGTTCTTGGCATTTTAATTATGATGTGTCTTGGTGTGGTCCTTTTGTTTGGGGTTCTCTGCGCT